ACCAGGAAGGATACGACCCCCCCCTCCCAACACGATGGGATCCCCGCTTCCCGAGGCTGCCTCGGCGATCGAAAAGTTCACGAAAGTCTCCTCGGCCGAGGGGGGGGGGCATATCATCGGACCGCTCGACGAATCCTCTTTCCCCCGTTGTGAACGCTTCGACAGGCTTGTGATCGTTCGGGGTAATTTCATTGCGAGGGCAGGAAGAAGGGGGATCCTGAGGTTAATAGGAAGTTTAAAGGGAAGTCGGTAGGTCTTCTGCTGGGAAGCTGATCGGTGGAGTGATGGCGCCGTCTAGGCACGATGAAACCACAGTGTCACCTAAGAGAGGCAGGGAGCAGGAGGCTCTCTCTGGGGGTTGAAGAGATTTCGGCCTCGATGGATAGCTGTAGCTCTGGGGAGCTCAATCGTTTAATATCAGTTTCCCCACCACCACCTTATCCTCTCTCCCCCCCCCCAACTTTCTCCACCCTCGCCTCTTGCTTCTGATGAGGGAGAACTTCTCGTCATCCCCTGGCGATTGCTGCAAAGCCACCCCAAATACTTTCCTCCTCTGCCTCATGCAGTCCGCCGAAAAGATTGCCCTCTTGTATGTACTTGAGGAAAGGTAGCCTCTTTCCCGTCCCCACAGAAAAACCCAAACGCCCCTCGGTGGACCAGACTTCCTAGCGGACAGTAGCCTAACACTGCAGACGTTTATATATATATATTTTTAAAAAAAAAATCTTTCATTTACTGGGGTTCCTTCCCTTCTTCCAGTTCTTCATGAGGTGCTACCTTAAAGAAGGAAAATGCAGTCACTTTGGATTCTGAGAGAGGTCCCTTCTCACTAATGGAATCCTTGATTGAGTGCTCCTACACACCACATTGCCTTTCAGTGCCTAAATCCTCCCAGATAATGCTGCACAGAGCTGCAATGCCTACAAACTACTCCAGCAACATTTGTGAAGAGTAGGTTGTGATTTGTAGGGTTTACCCATAAGCGAGGGTCTCACTTCCCATCCTTGAAATGGCCTATCAGCTTTGTTTAGTAAAGGAGCCATTGGTGGTTGTGGCTTAGGATGAAAAGCAGAGAGGAAAATATAATGGCTTGGTTTAGATCCTGGGAGCTTATTCTTCACAACTATTACTCCACCCTTCCCCATTCCTTTTAAAGAGAATTAAGACTCAGTGCTGCTTCCCTCCTGTCAAGGTTTAGAGCCTGCACTTTATAATCTGGGAGCACACAATCTCTTTTGGGGGGGGGGCGGAAACAACACCCTGAATACTCTGATTTGTTCAGCATTGTGCAATTGGGGGTGGGAGATGCCTGGTCATTCAAAGTGGAGATTAAAAAGCTAGAGTGAGCTGTGTTAAAACAAAAACAAAAACCTCACAAAAACCCCCCCCCCCCAGAAACTCTTTATAGGTTTCAAACAATGGCGACGATTGCCACTGCCAATGAAATAATATAAAGGTATTAAGTTGGCATCACTTTTATCAGCAAACAGTTACAACAAGAACAAAAATTACTAAGGGCTAAACAGCTCCACAGATATTAATGTTGAGTACACATACACAAACGCACACAGGCACACTCCTTTCAGCTCCACCTGCATTAGCAAGCAGAGGCTGCAGGGACCAAAAAGGACTAATATAGTTGCAGTACCTTGAGATGGAGCTGGCCACCAACCAAGACATCGTACACATACAAATAAGGCACCTTTGTTAGTAACCAAGGGCAAGCATTACCCAAGAGGCCAAATCTTAATCTGTCCCAGAGGGTGTAGCACCAAAACGCTGCCTAGCCCCATTTAGCTTGTATGTATTTGACATCCTCTTCAAGTATCTCAAGAGTACATATTATGCAGAACCTAAGTATTCAAAATTATAAATATTGTGCTCACGGCGAATAAAAAATCCTTGCTGTAATTTTCCCCCCTGAAGATAATACTTCCTATTTATAGGTCAGTAGCCAAATCTTGATATAGTATCCCAGACTTTATTTTTAAATAGAATCTTAATATAACCAGGTTGCTATTACAATGGTATGTAGCCATAGGTAGACAATGCTCATCTGTTCCAAATAACAGTTTATTCCTTTTTTAACTCAATATAATTCATCACTGTTATTTTTGAAACCTAATTTTTTAAAAAAAGGTTTTGCACAGTGACAGCTTTCCTAACCCCCCCTCCCAACCACCCTTTGAAATTGTTCTAGTAAAATGTTCCTTAGCTTAAAATTGTTCTTTTATGATCTGTTAAATGAAAAGTACTGGCTCTTAATTTAAGGTTAAAAAAGTCAGACCTTGTCAAACTGAATATGTGCTAAACAAGAGGAGGCATTCCAATTAATAATGTAAGAAATGTTATTTTTAAACATTTGAGTTTAAGGAACTTGACAGGTAAGGTGGCCACATGGTGGCACTGTTCACACAGCATCAAATATTTCCTTGTGTAACATATTTAAAAAAGCACTGTCCTTTTTTGTGGGGGGGGCACACATGTTCTAACTGGAGTCTTGAAAACATCTTACTGAATTTTTTGAAGCCGTTTGATATTCATTGCATGAACTGTATAACCTGCATTTTCCTTTCCTTTCTTGCAGGCCAAATGACATAGGATGAAGGCTGTTCGTAATTTGCTGATTTATATATTTTCCACCTACCTACTGGTTATGTTTGGATTTAATGCTGCCCAAGACTTCTGGTGTTCAACGCTGGTGAAGGGGGTCATTTATGGATCATATTCTGTAAGCGAAATGTTTCCTAAAAACTTTACAAACTGCACTTGGACGCTGGAAAACCCAGATCCAACCAAATATAGCATTTACCTAAAATTTTCCAAAAAGGACTTCAGCTGCTCTAACTTTTCCCTACTGGCTTATCAATTTGATCATTTTTCCCATGAAAAGATTAAGGATCTCTTAAAGAATAATCATTCTATAATGCAGCTGTGTGATTCTAAGAATGCTTTTGTATTTCTGCAATATGATAAGAATTTCATTCAGATACGCCGGGTGTACCCTTTCGATTTCCTAGGATTATACAAAAGGGAAGATGATCAAAAATCTTTCTTTGAATTTTTGGTGTTAAACAAGGTGAGCCCAAGCCAGTTTGGTTGCCATGTATTATGCACTTGGCTGGAGAGCTGCTTGAAATCTGAGAACGGAAGAACCGAGTCTTGTGGGATCATGTATACAAAATGCACCTGCCCTCAGCACTTGGGTGAATGGGGGGGAGATGACCATTCCCTGGTGTTGCTCAATAATGTAGTACTGCCGCTTAATGAGCAGACGGAAGGCTGTCTCACACAGGAGCTTCAAACCACCCAGGTCTGCAATCTCACCAGGGAAGCCAAGCGGCCACCGAAGGAAGGTAGGTACTCTTTGGATGGCCTCTGATGCCTTACAGCCCTTTCTTGTTCCTGATTCTACTGATACATCCATATGTCAGAGTTGCACTCCACACCAGTACTGTACATAAAAGGACTTCTGGAGGTCTGTGGACATTTCTTCTCTGGATTCCTTCAAGAGAGAGGAGTTAATTTTTCTTATTTAACCTGATATCAAATCACTTTCTTCTTATTATTATTATTACTATTTTCATAAAAGAGTTTCCTCATATTTTACTGAGGACTTTTGTTCATGTTATCAGACCTACTTTAGTATAATACCATTAGGTTGGGAGCAGAGTTATTCTTTGTCTCTTTTCTTATTGCAACCACCCAGCTACCATATCCTTATTCACCTGTGATCCTGTTGGTTTGGCTTTGCAAGGAAGTTATTTCCAAAGCATGTGAGTGTCATAAACAAAGTTCCCAAGATAGGCCAGAACCCCAGCGGCTGAGCAAGATTTTAAGTCATAGCATTTGCTTTGAGGTATTCTGAAACAAGCAGGGATCTAGCAGGGAATTTTGGTGATAATTTGCAAGGAGGGACATCTCATTAGCTCCAGGTCAGACATTAGGCAGCACACACATACTGGAGAAATTCTGTACATTTCTCTTCTGTAGAGACGCTCACATGAAAATCAGCTGTAGATCTTTAAAAATATATATACTGTACTTGCAGAAAAAAATTCCCAGAAGAGATTATTGTCCCCAAATCAAGCATGATAATATCAGGGTTGTGTTTTTAATAATGGTTGCTGCTATTATGAAAAAGAAAACAGCTGAGCAATGGAGATTATTACCAAGACATCTCTAGGACCTAACCCTCTAACTCCATATTAAAGTTACTTCTCTCCTTCTGCTTGCCTTTTATTTTTACCCTTCCTGCTTGTGTACAGATATAATGAGGAACAGCACATAGTTGTGGTAATTTTGGGGAAAGAAGCATCCTACGAAAGCTACATAGAGAGATGTTAAAAGATATAGAATGGAGGCAGTTAAATGCAGAAATTGCTGTTCAGAGATAGAAATATAATTGTAGAAAATAATGGAGTAATAACACTATCTGATGCCTAGATATATGTATATACCCTAGACTGGTCTGAAATATTTTGGAGGTACAGTATACTGAGTGCTTGAAACTTGTCTTTGAAGGAATTGATGCATGTGCATGCTTGAGACT